TTTATTACTAGGTTTAATTCAAAGTGACTTCAGCTATAGGTGGAGAATTCAAGTGCAAGAATTAAAAACTATTTATTCTAAAGAGTTTTTATTGTTCCCAAGATCTTGAGCTGTGTACATGAATACTGAGAGTTCTCGGTTACAATCGTCATGAACGTATACGATGGTGAAGAAGCTGGTTCAGAATCTGAGAACAAGAGAGACACTTTTTGCTGTAACTGTACTTGAAACATAGAAGTAAATGGGCCAATTCATCACTTTACACTACAAAATATATCCCTCTGCATTACCCATCTCATTATAGAAGTAATAGTGGTGTCCTAAGAAACATGTGAATATCTGCTAATTATTATAAATTTAGTTCCAGAGAAATTTTTCAGAAAGAGTACTGTATGTTGCAGGAGTATGTACATAGTTACAGTGAATGGATTATAGTATCTTGCTCTGCAATTCTAATGGCATTACAGATTATTCTGTGATCTGACTTTTTGGGGATTTTTAATGTAGTTAATTGTTAACTTAAATCTTTGTAATTACCTACAATGTTAATAATCTTTTTTCTAGGATGTTTGGTGGTAGTTAGTTTTTTTCTAACTACTCTGTACAAGAGAATTGGGCAACAAGTACTACCTTGTTCTCATTGTTTCTGGCAAATTAAATTTGTTGCTCATTCTCAAGAACTCTGTTCTTGAAACTCATTTGATTCTGTGTCTGGTTAATTCCAGCAAAGATCAATATTAAGAAAGAATTTTCAACGTCTGTACGTCCCCTTGTCACACAACAATTGTTTCTCCGAAAAGGGCTGAAATCATTTTTGGAATACGGTTTGTTGTGCTCTGCATTGACTCAAATCTTAAAAGGATTTTACTTGCCTACAAATGGAATCTTAATTTTTTGCTATTGTTCTTCATACTCGAAAAACTCTTCCGTTTTTGCATTAGTTGGATTGGTTATGACACTGATCTTCAAAGAAGGATGATGCAATGACAAAAATCGGTGAGATGAGAACACTAATTTTGGCCAAAAAATGTAATTTTAGATTGCTTATTTTCTAGCATAAGATGTTCACTAAGCTTCATCATTTGTTGATACACATCTACAAGCCATTATACTCTGAGAACATATTTTTTTGTTATTACTGCTAGCTAGTAGACAAAAAAAGAAAAAGTTGCTAATGCCATTTGATACAGAAACATTTATTCAAATGACAGAGAGTCTCACAATTTCTAATTCCAGGAGATTTTATTCATATCTATACAGATTTGATTCTTGTGACAGTAAAGAAGATGCCATGTCTGTGAAACTAGAGGTTACTTTTTCATTGTATTTCTCAATGCCTGATGCTTTAAGATATAAGATTGGATATTAAAATGTTATTACTGACACAAAGAAAATTCAACTGGTTGTACATATCAGTGAGCTTTTGAAAACAGAGAATGTTTACAAGGCTTTTGTTGCACTTTCAATAATTTATGAACAGTGAACCAGTGTGTTCAGAATCTACCTAAGGCTGCATTTATGCAGATGTGAAAAGAGGGAAAAACAGGCAAAAGAGAACTTTTGGGATCAGAATTCACATTTCTGATACATTTTATCCAAAAAAGAGAAACAGTTCTTTCATGTTACATGTGAGAAATGCACCGGTTTCCCTCATCCTCAAAAGTTCAGTCTATTGAGTAAGCTACTAAAAAAAAGATATGTGTAAAGGTATTAAAGCTTTACCTTCTTGGCTACAAGATGAATGGCAATAGATCAGTTTGCCGATAAACTTTTAATCTTTTATTCTTGTACAGTAGAACTATAAATATCAAAAATTTTAAGCTATACATAAGCTAGTTATGTTAATTTACTGAATTTTGACTATTTGCAAAGGCAAACAAATTTACAGAAAATTACATGAATACTCCTCACTTAACGACCTACCTGTTTAATGATTGCTCAGACTTATGATTGTCTCTCCAGCATGGCAAATTCCCTTTCATAATTTTAGTATAGTTCTAATAGTCAATCAGTTTTCACTAAACAAAGCGTCGCAATCTTCAAGGCTACATATTTCGTTTATAAACTTGTACTATATTGCATGTCTCATTTGAAGGACTCAATGACTAAAACATTAATCTGAATGTCTGTTTTTTTATAAATGAACTTGAATTGTTTTGGTACATCTTTTCTTTATGTAGAAGAAATAAAAGCAATTAAACCCCATCATTTAACAAATCATTTACTTAATGACCTAATTGTTGGAATGGAACTCAATCATTAAGTGACAAGTGTCTGTATTTTGGATGTGGTGTATTTATACACCACATTTAGATGCTAAATAACACTACTTGTATGGTAAATAATGGTCAATATCAATATTATAATTATATGTATATAAGTATGTATTGTATTGGTGCAAGCATTTATATAAACATACCAGTTCTTTTCTCAGGAGTCTAGATTGTGTAATTTTTCTTTTTGAAAAAATTGTAAACCTATAAATTCCCACTGTCATCCATTAGTCTGTCTATCTGTCCTTCTTCCTTAATCTTGTGAATGTAGTTAGTTAGATCCATTAAGGCTGGGTATGGAAAGCTTAGTTAAGTCAAGTCTTTCTTTTTCAAATCCTCTACCCCATGGACATTTGTAGTCATTTTTTGTACTCATTATGGGCTTCACAATAGGGGAACCAATACAAAAGATTGTATCTGACAAATCCTACTCAAATCGTCCTTGGAAACTTTAGGATCGGATTCGGGTTCCTCGGATTGGCAGGTCAACACTTCAATTATTTTGACTGTCCAAGTATAGCATGGCAAAAAAATGCTTATTGAATGAAAGTTATGGGTTTTAAATCACTCCAGGCAGATGTTTTTATAGATAGACATTTTAATTATAATGATTTTACCATGTAATTGGCAGTGATATTCCTATCTTTAGTATAGGCATGTCATTATCCAAATTGACATAGACAAATTATAAACTGGAAATTTTGGAAATTGTTCTTGTTTTTAATGCATAAATAGCCATTTATATTAGCAAAGCATTTGTTATTTCCAGATTTATTTAGTTATTCCAAGTAGCATTGCTTATCAAGCTCTATAAGTAGGTAGTTCTCATTAGGTTTACTAGAAGGATGCTATTCTACTAAAGAATTACTGTGCTTTTTTGAGTGATATTGTGCTGTTTAGGAGAAACCAATCTAAAGTGTTCATAGTAATTATATATCCACATAACTGACAAACACAGATAGCTACAGTTATGAATGTGACAAATGAAATATAGTAAAGTAACTACGTGCTATGATACAAGACTGCTCATGGTAAAATTTGGACGTCGATTTTTATATTTCAAAGACGACACACAGAATGGGGAAAAAGCCGATTAGAAAATCTTAGAACACGTCCAATTTAGTATGAAAGGACAGCCTGCATACATGAACGGTGTGGTTAGGAAATGTAAAGTGGTAATGTGCGTGTCAAGCAAAGATAGTAAAATGTTTATTTCTCATTTACATCTTTGTGTTGCATTCGTTATCGTGTGTCGTACGTTGTGTGTCACTCCCACATATTGGAATGTAAGGACTTTCTGTGCACTCCGTACAATTTTCTCTCATATTAAAAATTTACTTAAAGAATCAAAATGACATATCGGCGATACTGTTACACATTTATTACACGTGATATCATTTAGACGATGAGTGGATGTTGAGTTTAATCGATTTCATTGTTTTGCTAACATTTATCTATAGTATTAAAATGATAATTTTAAATATTGAAAACAAATAGAACAAATTTATCTCTGCTATCACTGCTCGGTCTCTGCCGTACGAAGGTTACATTTTATTTATAATCTGTCGTAATAGCAGCACATGTTTTATTTTTAGCTTCGGATTATCAGTTAATAAGTTGTGATTTAACTAATAATAATCATATAAGTATCACTGCACTTTATTAAATATATTTTTAGTTAACTAAACATTCTTAAGCATTTTTAGTTATTTTTCTTTCATTTAAAGATTAGAATAATGTCAGATGGGAACATCATTACTTTTTAACAGTTCAAAGATTGTGTATTCTGAAACCGTGTCTTCTTTTTTGTGTTTTTATCATCACGACTAGGTGCTAACTGTAAATAAGTGATTTTAAACGGAATGTATACGTGTTAACACCACCTATAATAAATCCCATAAGCCATGCCGACAGATGAATGGCTTATGCCCGAAACGCGTATCGGCCTATAGAAGATTCCAAGTAAAGATGATATAGAAATGCTCAGTGTCTATCTATGCACCTAGTTGTGATGATAAAAAAACAGTTCAAAAATTATTATAAAATTATGAATTTCGGATAAAAATTGTCAATGTAGGTTGCATGATTAACGTCACTCTTCAGCATCATTGTAAATATAAAAACAGCAAAATGTGTATAGACGTTCTTGTAAAATTGCCAATTAATGTTTTAAAAAGTAAGTGTCATCTTTAGATCAACCATTCAAATGGATTTACTTTGGATTTGAGGTATGTCTTTTATTGTATCTGTGATGAGCCTGTCAAATTCCTGATGGTGTGGCCAAATAATGAGGGATGCAATCAAACACTTTCAGTTCAAACTGCTAAAATTTGAGGATTTTATTTGGAGTTTTTGGCTTGCAATATCAACATCATATCATTCAAACAGATTAGTTTTGAATGGATCTGAAGTAGGCTTGTCAAATGTTTGGATCTGAAGATAAGATTTATTCATGAAAACATTAATAAAATATTTTACAATGATTTCTATAAATAAGGAGTTTGATTTTACTGTTTATTGTTATTTGCAATCAAAGTAGCTTCTAAAAATAACTATTTATACTAAAAATATATACTCAATACATCAGTAACTGATGTGTTGTTTGTATTGACCAAAACTCTTTTCAAACTTCTTTGCAAATTGTATTTATTTTTACAAATTACATTTATAATTTATTGTTTTTTTTAAATATATAAACTATTTGACAAGCAAAGAATCTGTTTACAGGGTTACAGAAAGAGCAAATCCGTTCTTCGTTCTCCAGCGACGTAAAGGACATGGCACGAAAGGGTTGTCTTCCTTACTGGTCGGAACTCTAGATACCGTATTTGATACAAAGGTATGCATAATAAAGTATTTCAGTAACAAAACTACGATGATCAGTCGACCGATTGCACATTTTAATCGTCGAGGTCGAAAGATGCAAACGGTGGTAATGGTCATCGACATTCGACGTTTTGTGTGCATCAGCTTTAATGCTACTAAATGGAAACAAAAGATTGTTGTACAATATTAATATGAATTTACCCTAATTTAAATCCATGCCTTTGTTTTACTTATCTATGGGAAACCATAATATTAATGTGTAATATCCTCTATTATAAACATGACATTCAGTATTTCAAGTTAAAGAAGAATGTAAAAAATATTTATTTATAAATAATTTAACTGTTATTAAAACTGATAAAGCTAAGAAATTAGTGATAGTTACTAAAAATTGGTTAATAGATAAGTTAAAAGAACAAATTAATCAAGAAAATTTTTTTTAATTAGAAGGTATCCCTGATATTAAAATTTTAAAAGATCTATTTAAAATAAACAACAAATTTTATAATAAATAACAACAACAATAGAACCCCTAAATTATGGATTAGAGAAAGAACCCAAAAACAAACAAAGCAAAGAAAAAAATTAAATATAATACATAATTATAAATACAATGTGAATAATGCATATGAAGTAATTAGTCAACTGTACTGATTAAAAAGGAACCCACTGATAAAATAATGAGTTTAGATGTGATAAGTGTGTATTCAAACATCCATCAGATTCTAATAGAAAATAATTTAAAATGCTTAGAATCAGAGGACTGGTTTATTGAATTAATAAAATACACACATAAGAGTACTTATTTTGAATCAAATACAGTGGAACCTCGCTTAATGAACAGAATTCGTTCCAGAATTGTACTCATAATGTGAAACACTCATTAAGTGAAACAATTTTTTCCATAGAAATTAATGTAAAATACGATAATGCATTCCACGCCAAAAAAATACTCAAATATTTTATGTATAACGTTTATTCAAAAAAAAAAACTGTACAATGTGCATTGTTAAGGAGCATGAATCATCACCACCTTTTCTTCTAGTGCGGAATGAACCAACTTGGAATGAAAATTCGATTTGCAGAAAACAAAAAAAAATCACAGATAATATGTTTGATAAACACTCCAAATGATATGCCAAATTCTTGGGCTATGTAAAGGCTATAATTAAATAATAGAAATTAATTAATATGACTAGAGGTAGGCAATTATGCTTCTATCTTGTATTAAATTTAACAATTATAAATAGTTAATTTTTAATTCAGACATTTCTAAAATTTAATTTGGAATTGGTCATTAAATTTAATACGAGATGGCAACATAACTGCCTATCTCTAGTCAAATTAATTAATTTCTAATATTTAATTATAGCCTTTACATTGCCCAAGAATTTGGCTTATCATTTGGCATGTTTATTATATAATGGGCAGTGGTTGGTGATGTTTAAAGGTAATATGTATGAACACAAGTTTGGAAAAATATGTGATCACAAGTGACACTAAGATGCTAGCAAAACAAATGCTAAACACAGACTGAAGAAACATGCACAATTTAGGACTTCCTTCTCCTCATCACTCATTATGTGAAACATCGCTCGTTAAGCAAGGCAATTTTTTACAATTTGTTTTGCTTGTTATGCGAAACACTCATTATGCAAGGTGCTTGTTAAGTGAGGTTCCACTGTAATGAAAATTACAAGCAGCAGGATGGAATTAGCATGGGTTCAAAAAAGGTTGAAAACTTGTAGAAATTATAATGAATGAAATACACATAAAATAAAATAATAATGATGATAACATATAAATTCTCCATAATGATAGACATTTATAAAAGAAAGTTTAAGGAACATACTGCAATTAAAAATTTTTCAGAAAAAGATAATCTATTAAACACTTCGGAAGATATACAGACATGTAACAAATGGTACGACATCATTAAAGATGTATTTAACCCATACTAATCCCGCATTGAAATTTTATGATAGTTTGTTATGCATTGTAATTCTGTACTCCTCTGTTTTCATTACATTCTTCACCTACGAAGATATGTTTTGATTGTTCTGGATTGCATAATAATAATAATAATAATAATAATAATTCTGTAATTATAGAAGAATTGGAGTTGCGAGTTTGATTTTTAATTAAAATTTCTTGTAATATTTATGTAATTTTAATTTAATTTAGTTATGCATATTTTTATCTATAGGTGACCTGCAAAATTGCAATCGTTTATAATTTTATCATTCAATATTGCCTACATTTGTATTATTTCAGAGTGAAAATACACTGTAAGTGCATTTGGAGTGATTGTCCTCTCTAAGTTTTATTTTTTAAAAATGAAAGTATTTTTTAATTAAACATTTGTAATAGCTAATGTTATGTTTTATTCGGTAACACTGAAGAAGGATCATTAATTAAACTTTGATCCAAAATACGCATGTTGTGTTCTTTTCCTGAAAAGAAAAAATAAAGATATTCTATCAGTTGTGACTGGATTTTTGAATAATCAGAGAGACCTCACAAGCCTGTTGAATTTAGCTTATAGAGGATATTACACACTTTGTTTTACTGTTTATTTTTCAAGTTTGAATCAATTTTTTGAATCAATGAAAACATTGGGATATATTTGAAAGTATTTGATGGCACATCAATAAATTATAGCACCCAGTTTGGAAAGTTTTGTTCCGGATGCCACAGTAGTCCTGTTTATATTTTTTCATATACATTATTTAATTAATTTGCCAAAAAATAAACAACCTTAGACATAATTCTAACCTGTGAAACTGCCAAACAGAAAGAGAGAATCTATGAAGAAAATTCTGTTATTGTAAAGTTTGCAAAAATATAAATAAATAACCACTCTTCGGCTCTAATAATTTCAAGTTTTACAACCACCTTTGCTGCTAGAAATGTAGATGATGACGACTTGTATAACGTAAATTTTCTAGAGTTAAAGAGCAAATTACACATATTTCTTTCATTCAGAAAAGCAAATTATTGGCGACATTTAAAAACTACTGTTATTTATTTGATATGAATTTATCATAACATTTGTGTACATGGTGGTCGAAAAGTCAGTTAACAAGGATCTAGTCTGTAGGTTAGTAACAAACTGAAACATGGTTAGTGGTGTTCTGTGCTCTTGTTCTTGTTTGTGTTTTTGTGGAAAATATTTTGTGTAGGTAATAATATTGGGCATTGTTGAATTTTTCTCAATGAGAGGAAGGCATCGGTGCCAAAAGTTTGGAGGTTGACCAAGCCATTCAGGAGTTACAATGGATTAAAGATTCAGTAAGAAAAAAGACTCTAACTGTTCTAAAAATAGAATAATGGTTTTTCTAACAGTTGCATCTATGGAGTTGCATTAGTATTTAATGGTTAATTCATATTTCGTGGACTATTTAGTATCTTCTGATTTTATTACATTTAACGTTAGCCAGGTTCGCTAATATTGTTAGAATTGTTAACATTTATATTGCATTGTGCCCATGGAGAGTGGGGAAGAATTTGTGGGAGATTTGAGAAAGGCAGCATATGTGGTCCTAAAAGGATACATAAAAAATAATAATGGAACCAAGATTGGAATTAGAAAATATACTGAATTCATAACAAGTTGCATTCAAAGGGTGATCAATATATGTGAAGATGGCATAAAAATAAACAAATTTAAAGAAATTCCAATAAATTAGACATAATTATAGAAAATCAAACTCAGGTTCTTGAAAAAATAACAAATAAAATAAAAAATGACTCAAAGGCTACTGAACAAACCCTACTTTATAGTCAAGTAAAAATAAAATGGGAACTCAACCAACAAACAAGAAATCTTTACCAGGTTTTTCTGACAATGTATTGTTAATATATGATAAAAATGAAAATAGCTTCTGCAAAAATACGAAAAACTAATTGGGGAAAGTGTGAAACCAGCAGAACTAAAGATAGGTGTCCAAAGGATTAGAAATATCCGTAAGGGTGGTATATTGCAATCGAGTTACACAAGGAGGAAGATTTAAGAACCTTAAAAAGAGTGATTAATGAAACAATCCCATAATTTTTGACAGTTCTACCAAAAAAGAAACCACTGCTAATATTATTAAAATCTGTCCCAAATCAGCAGAATAAAGACAATATTATAAATGACATCCACAAACAGAATGATTGCATTAATCAATTATAAGATCTTGAAACCACAGAGAAGGCAACGGGAAAACACTCTGGATGTAACTTTCCCTAGAAACACCTCGGCGCATTACTGACTTCTTACTAACCTATGCCAGGTGTCGCTGACATCAGGAATCTGATATGGCATACGAAGAAGAAGATCTTCAAGACCTAAAAAGCAAACTAATCTTAAAATTCCCAGTTGGAACAAGGGGTAGAGAATTCACCAATTGTGTTTTGCAGGCATCCCGACGTATGAAATCTCTTAATAAAAGAGGAAAAAATTAATATACAATGTTTGAGGTGCAGAGTCACTGATTTCTTCTGGTGACTCAATGCTTCAGATGCCTTAGCTTTGGACACATGGCTAAAGATTGTAAAGAGGACCATGAAACATGCACTCGCTGCACTGGGACACATGTTTATGAAGAATGTAATAATAAAGAAGAAACTCTTATTTGTAAAAATTTTGTGACAGAAAGACTTACAAATACTAGTCACAGTGCAATAGACCACATATGCTGCATTTATCAGAAAATTAAAAATAGGTTGAAAAAACAGACTGTGAAAAAAAAATTAAAGACAAAATTAGTATCCTGCAAATAAATCTCAGCAGAGGAAGATGCCACCTCGCTGCTCTTGACAAAACTTCAAACCTATGATGTAGTTCTTGTACAAGAACCATATTGTATTAACAATAAATCTGCTTGTTTATCCACTAAAAGTATAATACTTCAGGAACTAATGAATACCTGCAGAGCATTATTATTCTGAAAAGTATGAACATACATATTTTATTCCACAAAAATCATAGCAACCAATACATTACCTGTTGTGAAATTTATGGACAGA